GAAGCATTTCTTTCCTTAAACAAGGTTAATCATCTTGGACACTTCCTCTTAACTACCACGATCATCGATATTTGCTTTTAAAACGGGGTAAAGTATATATTTTGCACCAGTATCTGGTGGTAAACCGAAAGTCGACAAAAAGAGATGTTTTAATGGTTCTAGAGCCGGCATAACGTTTCCCATGTTTGTGTCTACGAGTCCTGGGTGACAAGCTAAGGATATAACATCTAAAATAAAGGTAGCAATTTGAATTTTGATAATTGGAAAAAAAAACATGATTAAGAGTGTTCAAATTGTGAACGATTTAGCTGTCGTGATTGAAGTTACTGTAGCACTTGTCTGAAATTATACCACCCTAAAATTACTGATGCATGCAAAAAAACTAATTTCTAATTTAAGGGGATAATTTCAGCATCCTCAGGTGCCTGGTGTTGCAACTTCAAGCATTATATAGCGACCAACAGTCTATCATGCAGAGAAAGCATTAACTCTGTAAATTTAAAAGGACTTACTTGAACTTCGATAGAGACGATTAAGTTCGTTGCTATACACTACATTCTAAAAATATATATATATATTTAGTCAAATAAACATGAAAAGTTATATACTGTATTTATTTGTATTTATTGTATTTTAGATTCATTACTAACCATTAATTTTGAATTGGCATGTAGTTGAACAAACCAGGAACATTTTTCACCATTCAAATTATCTAATTCAATTTTACCCAGCTTCATAGTATCTGAAGCTGTCCAGTTTATTTTACACGGAGATTCAGGTTTTGCCGATTTCTTTATGGTTGGAATTAGAAGGGTAGTTAAGAGGAAGTGTCCAAGATGATTAACCTTGTTTAAGGAAAGAAATGCTTCTGATATTAGAAAAAGTTTAAATATACCATGTAAAGTAAACTATTTTAAACAAGTTTACCTGGAACTGTTGCTCAAAATTATCTTTCGTCTTCTCGTAAGAAAAATTAAAAATACCTATTATACATTTAATGCATTAATTTTAAAGAGAATACTAAAATATACTTTTAATAGCAAAGGTCTAATAATACGCACCAGCATGATTCCATAAATAGTGTAATTCACCAACTTCCTTAATAAATTTATCAGCGAAACGTTTTACACTATGTAAATCAGCCAAATCAATATCCCATAGTTCAATACATTTAACGTTTCCATCTTGAGATTTTCGGATATATTCCAAGAGATGTTCACCTTTTTCACGATTACGAATTGGAAGGACTAGACGTTTTGGATTATATGATGAAACCATACGAGTTAAACATCTACCAATTCCTATGTTAATAATAAAATAAGAAATGTTATTATCATACGTATATAATTGTAAAGAAAATAATTATTAATTATAATAAAAGAATAACAAACCGCCTGTAGCACCGGTAATTATAACAACTTTATTTGATAAATCATAGGATTCATTAGTTGGTTGTAATTCCATTTCGAAATTTAACATAATAAATTGTAGATTTATTAAGTTGTAAGATTATTATTAAAATGAAATCAGATTAAATAAATGAGGGTTTCTAAGATTTTCTATAAATTTACCAATTTTAGATTACGCCTCAAAAATTTATAATTAGGATTAAACATTATTGAAATTTCTATTTTGACTACGCCCACGGTAAAAGTATCAGGTGATCATTTTACTTAACATTAACGAATAAACAATTGTCTTAATTAGTTGTTAATTCTGACCAAGCCGATAATGAATCCGACGAAATTGACTGTGTTTGTCAATTTCGTCATTACAAAAATATTTTCGTCATCAGTTGAGTTGAATTGAGTTGCACATGGTTCGTAATGATTGGATATGGATTATTTGGATATTCATTAAGCAACTAATTTTATTTTTATTATATTCCTTATTTGAGTAAGATCCGGCAGGAGATCTGTATACGTAGCGCAATAACCCTCAACGAATTTAGTAAGAATTACAAGATCTCTGTGAGGCTTAGCATTAATAATTCTCAGAAGCTTTATTATTATCGTTATTATCCTTAACCGTATTTGATTCTACAACGTGACATATGGTGACTAGTATTTTCATTATATGAATGCTGCAAAGGGAAAGTATGTACGAATTTAAATTTAACTATACCATTTTGTTGAGTTTTAAATGAAAATTTAAATTCGTACTTACAAGTTTAGATTTTCCCTTGGCGTACACAATGTATCTTTACGCATTTTGCCAGAAAATTTTCTTGCAATATTCAAAAAGGAAATCTTAACTCTCGTCGTTTTTGAGTATTGTAACGAATTAATTTTATAATCTTACCCTTTTGGGTGTAATTGATTATCTAACTAAGGCAGTGTGCATATTGACATGAGGCTAACATGATAGCGTGTGCCTCTGATGTCATAAAGTAGGTTCCAGAATGCATTCTCTTTCATATTAATCTAAATCTATAAAAGTGAAGCCTTTATTCTAATAAACAGAACCTCGTTCTTATAATGAAGTAACATAGACATAATGATATTCACTCCTTAATTTCACACCATCATTAAGTCGCATTAATAGAATTACTATACCCTATAGAAACCTTTTATTATTCAATCCACATAACTTTCTAGTAGCGGTTGGAGCTACACCGCGCATTTATTGTTCATCGCTCTCCCAACCAACCGTTACAGTATATCGACAATGGATCTTGCATAAAAAAATTTACATAGTTTTACAGGCAAACTTGTCTGTAAATAGTAATGATTGTTTTTTAAAAGAAAACTGGTCCCCTGTATACAGGGAAAGGCAACAGAAAAACACAAAGTTCTCAAACTCTTAAGGGTTATGACCTATGGTCACTTTTATGAATGCCTAAAAAACCCTCGCTTCAAAAGACATCACCATAAATCATTCATTATGTTTGATGAATTCCATGAACTTGATTGTGCAATGC